AGAGCATCGCGACGCTCTGGGGCGTCCGGGGAGAGCATCGCGACGCTCTGGGGCGTCCGGGAGAGCATCGCGACGCTCTGGGGCGTCCGGGGAGAGCATCGCGACGCTCTGGGGCGTCCGGGGAGAGCATCGCGACGCTCTGGGGCGTCCGGGGAGAGCATCGCGACGCTCTGGGGCGTCCGGGGAGAGCATCGCGACGCTCTGGGGCGTCCGGGAGAGAGCATCGCGACGCTCTGGGGCGTCCGGGAGAGCATCGCGACGCTCTGGGGCGTCCGGGGAGAGCATCGCGACGCTCTGGGGCGTCGGGGAGAGCATCGCGACGCTCTGGGGCGTCCGGGGAGAGCATCGCGACGCTCTGGGGCGTCCGGGGAGAGCATCGCGACGCTCTGGGGCGTCCGGGGAGAGCATCGCGACGCTCTGGGGCGTCCGGGGAGAGCATCGCGACGCTCTGGGGCGTCCGGGAGAGCATCGCGACGCTCTGGGGCGTCCGGGGAGAGCATCGCGACGCTCTGGGGCGTCCGGGAGAGCATCGCGACGCTCTGGGGCGTCCGGGGAGAGCATCGCGACGCTCTGGGGCGTCCGGGGAGAGCATCGCGACGCTCTGGGGCGTCGGGGAGAGCATCGCGACGCTCTGGGGCGTCCGGGGAGAGCATCGCGACGCTCTGGGGCGTCCGGGAGAGCATCGCGACGCTCTGGGGCGTCCGGGGAGAGCATCGCGACGCTCTGGGGCGTCCGGGGAGAGCATCGCGACGCTCTGGGGCGTCCGGGGAGAGCATCGCGACGCTCTGGGGCGTCCGGGGAGAGCATCGCGACGCTCTGGGGCGTCCGGGAGAGCATCGCGACGCTCTGGGGCGTCCGGGAGAGCATCTCGACGCTCTGGGGCGTCCGGGGAGAGCATCGCGACGCTCTGGGGCGTCCGGGGAGAGCATCGCGACGCTCTGGGGCGTCCGGGGAGAGCATCGCGACGCTCTGGGGCGTCCGGGGAGAGCATCGCGACGCTCTGGGGCGTCCGGGGAGAGCATCGCGACGCTCTGGGGCGTCCGGGGAGAGCATCGCGATGCTCTGGGGCGTCCGGGGAGAGCATCGCGACGCTCTGGGGCGTCCGGGGAGAGCATCGCGACGCTCTGGGGCGTCCGGGAGAGCATCGCGACGCTCTGGGGCGTCCGGGGAGAGCATCGCGACGCTCTGGGGCGTCCGGGGAGAGCATCGCGACGCTCTGGGGCGTCCGGGGAGAGCATCGCGACGCTCTGGGGCGTCCGGGGAGAGCATCGCGACGCTCTGGGGCGTCCGGGGAGAGCATCGCGACGCTCTGGGGCGTCCGGGGAGAGCATCGCGACGCTCTGGGGCGTCCGGGGAGAGCATCGCGACGCTCTGGGGCGTCCGGGGAGAGCATCGCGACGCTCTGGGCGTCCGGGGAGAGCATCGCGACGCTCTGGGGCGTCCGGGGAGAGCATCGCGACGCTCTGGGGCTGGGGCGTCCGGAGAGCATCGCGACGCTCTGGGGCGTCCGGGGAGAGCATCGCGACGCTCTGGGGCGTCCGGGGAGAGCATCGCGACGCTCTGGGGCGTCCGGGAGAGCATCGCGACGCTCTGGGGCGTCCGGGGAGAGCATCGCGACGCTCTGGGGTCCGGGGAGAGCATCGCGACGCTCTGGGGCGTCCGGGGAGAGCATCGCGACGCTCTGGGGCGTCCGGGAGAGCATCGCGACGCTCTGGGGCGTCCGGGGAGAGCATCGCGACGCTCTGGGGCGTCCGGGGAGAGCATCGCGACGCTCTGGGGCGTCCGGGGAGAGCATCGCGACGCTCTGGGGCGTCCGGGGAGAGCATCGCGACGCTCTGGGGCGTCCGGGGAGAGCATCGCGACGCTCTGGGGCGTCCGGGGAGAGCATCGCGACGCTCTGGGGCGTCCGGGGAGAGCATCGCGACGCTCTGGGGCGTCCGGGAGAGCATCGCGACGCTCTGGGGCGTCCGTCCGGGGAGAGCATCGCGACGCTCTGGGGCGTCCGGGGAGAGCATCGCGACGCTCTGGGGCGTCCGGGGAGAGCATCGCGACGCTCTGGGGCGTCCGGGGAGAGCATCGCGACGCTCTGGGGCGTCCGGGGAGAGCATCGCGACGCTCTGGGGCGTCCGGGGAGAGCATCGCGACGCTCTGGGGCGTCCGGGGAGAGCATCGCGACGCTCTGGGGCGTCCGGGGAGAGCATCGCGACGCTCTGGGGCGTCCGGGGAGAGCATCGCGACGCTCTGGGGCGTCCGGGGAGAGCATCGCGACGCTCTGGGGCGTCCGGGGAGAGCATCGCGACGCTCTGGGGCGTCCGGGGAGAGCATCGCGACGCTCTGGGGCGTCCGGGGAGAGCATCGCGACGCTCTGGGGCGTCCGGGGAGAGCATCGCGACGCTCTGGGCGTCCGGGGAGAGCATCGCGACGCTCTGGGGCGTCCGGGGAGAGCATCGCGACGCTCTGGGGCGTCCGGGAGAGCATCGCGACGCTCTGGGGCGTCCGGGGAGAGCATCGCGACGCTCTGGGGCGTCCGGGGAGAGCATCGCGACGCTCTGGGGCGTCCGGGGAGAGCATCGCGACGCTCTGGGGCGTCCGGGGAGAGCATCGCGACGCTCTGGGGCGTCCGGGGAGAGCATCGCGACGCTCTGGGGCGTCCGGGGAGAGCATCGCGACGCTCTGGGGCGTCCGGGGAGAGCATCGCGACGCTCTGGGGCGTCCGGGGAGAGCATCGCGACGCTCTGGGGCGTCCGGGGAGAGCATCGCGACGCTCTGGGCGTCCGGGGAGCATCGCGACGCTCTGGGGCGTCCGGGGAGAGCATCGCGACGCTCTGGGGCGTCCGGGGAGAGCATCGCGACGCTCTGGGGCGTCCGGGGAGAGCATCGCGACGCTCTGGGGCGTCCGGGGAGAGCATCGCGACGCTCTGGGGCGTCCGGGGAGAGCATCGCGACGCTCTGGGGCGTCCGGGGAGAGCATCGCGACGCTCTGGGGCGTCCGGGGAGAGCATCGCGACGCTCTGGGGCGTCCGGGGAGAGCATCGCGACGCTCTGGGGCGTCCGGGGAGAGCATCGCGACGCTCTGGGGCGTCCGGGGAGAGCATCGCGACGCTCTGGGGCGTCCGGGGAGAGCATCGCGACGCTCTGGGGCGTCCGGGGAGAGCATCGCGACGCTCTGGGGCGTCCGGGGAGAGCATCGCGACGCTCTGGGGCGTCCGGGGAGAGCATCGCGATGCTCTGGGGCGTCCGGGAGAGCATCGCGACGCTCTGGGGCGTCCGGGGAGAGCATCGCGACGCTCTGGGGCGTCCGGGGAGAGCATCGCGACGCTCTGGGGCGTCCGGGAGAGCATCGCGACGCTCTGGGGCGTCCGGGGAGAGCATCGCGACGCTCTGGGGCGTCCGGGGAGAGCATCGCGACGCTCTGGGGCGTCCGGGGAGAGCAGCATCGCGACGCTCTGGGGCGTCCGGGAGAGCATCGCGACGCTCTGGGGCGTCCGGGGAGAGCATCGCGACGCTCTGGGGCGTCCGGGAGAGCATCGCGACGCTCTGGGGCGTCCGGGAGAGCATCGCGACGCTCTGGGGCGTCCGGGGAGAGCATCGCGACGCTCTGGGGCGTCCGGGGAGAGCATCGCGACGCTCTGGGGCGTCCGGGGAGAGCATCGCGACGCTCTGGGGCGTCCGGGGAGAGCATCGCGACGCTCTGGGGCGTCCGGGGAGAGCATCGCGACGCTCTGGGGCGTCCGGGGAGAGCATCGCGACGCTCTGGGGCGTCCGGGAGAGCATCGCGACGCTCTGGGGCGTCCGGGGAGAGCATCGCGACGCTCTGGGGCGTCCGGGGAGAGCATCGCGACGCTCTGGGGCGTCCGGGGAGAGCATCGCGACGCTCTGGGGCGTCCGGGGAGAGCATCGCGACGCTCTGGGGCGTCCGGGGAGAGCATCGCGACGCTCTGGGGGCGTCCGGGGAGAGCATCGCGACGCTCTGGGGCGTCCGGGGAGAGCATCGCGACGCTCTGGGGCGTCCGGGGAGAGCATCGCGACGCTCTGGGGCGTCCGGGGAGAGCATCGCGACGCTCTGGGGCGTCCGGGGAGAGCATCGCGACGCTCTGGGGCGTCCGGGGAGAGCATCGCGACGCTCTGGGGCGTCCGGGAGAGCATCGCGACGCTCTGGGGCGTCCGGGGAGAGCATCGCGACGCTCTGGGGCGTCCGGGGAGAGCATCGCGACGCTCTGGGGCGTCCGGGAGAGCATCGCGACGCTCTGGGGCGTCCGGGGAGAGCATCGCGACGCTCTGGGGCGTCCGGGAGAGCATCGCGACGCTCTGGGGCGTCCGGGGAGAGCATCGCGACGCTCTGGGGCGTCCGGGAGAGCATCGCGACGCTCTGGGGCGTCCGGGGAGAGCATCGCGACGCTCTGGGGCGTCCGGAGAGCATCGCGACGCTCTGGGGCGTCCGGGGAGAGCATCGCGACGCTCTGGGGCGTCCGGGGAGCATCGCGACGCTCTGGGGCGTCCGGGGAGAGCATCGCGACGCTCTGGGGCGTCCGGGAGAGCATCGCGACGCTCTGGGGCGTCCGGGGAGAGCATCGCGACGCTCTGGGGCGTCCGGGGAGAGCATCGCGACGCTCTGGGGCGTCCGGGGAGAGCATCGCGACGCTCTGGGGCGTCCGGGGAGAGCATCGCGACGCTCTGGGGCGTCCGGGGAGAGCATCGCGACGCTCTGGGGCGTCCGGGGAGAGCATCGCGACGCTCTGGGGCGTCCGGGGAGAGCATCGCGACGCTCTGGGGCGTCGGGGAGAGCATCGCGACGCTCTGGGGCGTCCGGGGAGAGCATCGCGACGCTCTGGGGCGTCCGGGGAGAGCATCGCGACGCTCTGGGGCGTCCGGGGAGAGCATCGCGACGCTCTGGGGCGTCCGGGAGAGCATCGCGACGCTCTGGGGCGTCCGGGAGAGCATCGCGACGCTCTGGGGCGTCCGGGGAGAGCATCGCGACGCTCTGGGGCGTCCGGGGAGAGCATCGCGACGCTCTGGGGCGTCCGGGGAGAGCATCGCGACGCTCTGGGGCGTCCGGGGAGAGCATCGCGACGCTCTGGGGCGTCCGGGGAGAGCATCGCGACGCTCTGGGGCGTCCGGGGAGAGCATCGCGACGCTCTGGGGCGTCCGGGGAGAGCATCGCGACGCTCTGGGGCGTCCGGGGAGAGCATCGCGACGCTCTGGGGCGTCCGGGGAGAGCATCGCGACGCTCTGGGGCGTCCGGGGAGAGCATCGCGACGCTCTGGGGCGTCCGGGGAGAGCATCGCGACGCTCTGGGGCGTCCGGGGAGAGCATCGCGACGCTCTGGGGCGTCCGGGGAGAGCATCGCGACGCTCTGGGGCGTCCGGGGAGAGCATCGCGACGCTCTGGGGCGTCCGGAGAGCATCGCGACGCTCTGGGGCGTCCGGGAGAGCATCGCGACGCTCTGGGGCGTCCGGGGAGAGCATCGCGACGCTCTGGGGCGTCCGGGGAGAGCATCGCGACGCTCTGGGGCGTCCGGGGAGAGCATCGCGACGCTCTGGGGCGTCCGGGAGAGCATCGCGACGCTCTGGGGCGTCCGGGAGAGCATCGCGACGCTCTGGGGCGTCCGGGGAGAGCATCGCGACGCTCTGGGGCGTCCGGGAGAGCATCGCGACGCTCTGGGGCGTCCGGGGAGAGCATCGCGACGCTCTGGGGCGTCCGGGGAGAGCATCGCGACGCTCTGGGGCGTCCGGGAGAGCATCGCGACGCTCTGGGGCGTCCGGGAGAGCATCGCGACGCTCTGGGGCGCGTCCGGGGAGAGCATCGCGACGCTCTGGGGCGTCCGGGGAGAGCATCGCGACGCTCTGGGGCGTCCGGGGAGAGCATCGCGACGCTCTGGGGCGTCCGGGGAGATCGCGACGCTCTGGGGCGTCCGGGGAGAGCATCGCGACGCTCTGGGGCGTCCGGGGAGAGCATCGCGACGCTCTGGGGCGTCCGGGAGAGCATCGCGACGCTCTGGGGCGTCCGGGAGAGCATCGCGACGCTCTGGGGCGTCCGGGGAGAGCATCGCGACGCTCTGGGGCGTCCGGGGAGAGCATCGCGACGCTCTGGGGCGTCCGGGGAGAGCATCGCGACGCTCTGGGGCGTCGGGGAGAGCATCGCGACGCTCTGGGGCGTCCGGGGAGAGCATCGCGACGCTCTGGGGCGTCCGGGGAGAGCATCGCGACGCTCTGGGGCGTCCGGGGAGAGCATCGCGACGCTCTGGGGCGTCCGGGGAGAGCATCGCGACGCTCTGGGGCTCCGGGGAGAGCATCGCGACGCTCTGGGGCGTCCGGGGAGAGCATCGCGACGCTCTGGGGCGTCCGGGGAGAGCATCGCGACGCTCTGGGGCGTCCGGGGAGAGCATCGCGACGCTCTGGGGCGTCCGGGAGAGCATCGCGACGCTCTGGGGCGTCCGGGAGAGCATCGCGACGCTCTGGGGCGTCCGGGAGAGCATCGCGACGCTCTGGGGCGTCCGGGGAGAGCATCGCGACGCTCTGGGGCGTCCGGGGAGAGCATCGCGACGCTCTGGGGCGTCCGGGGAGAGCATCGCGACGCTCTGGGGCGTCCGGGGAGAGCATCGCGACGCTCTGGGGCGTCCGGGGAGAGCATCGCGACGCTCTGGGGCGTCCGGGGAGAGCATCGCGACGCTCTGGGGCGTCCGGGGAGAGCATCGCGACGCTCTGGGGCGTCCGGGGAGAGCATCGCGACGCTCTGGGGCGTCCGGGGAGAGCATCGCGACGCTCTGGGGCGTCCGGGAGAGCATCGCGACGCTCTGGGGCGTCCGGGAGAGCATCGCGACGCTCTGGGGCGTCCGGGGAGAGCATCGCGACGCTCTGGGGCGTCCGGGGAGAGCATCGCGACGCTCTGGGGCGTCCGGGAGAGCATCGCGACGCTCTGGGGCGTCCGGGAGAGCATCGCGACGCTCTGGGGCGTCCGGGGAGAGCATCGCGACGCTCTGGGGCGTCCGGGAGAGCATCGCGACGCTCTGGGGCGTCCGGGGAGAGCATCGCGACGCTCTGGGGCGTCCGGGGAGCATCGCGACGCTCTGGGGCGTCCGGGGAGAGCATCGCGACGCTCTGGGGCGTCCGGGGAGAGCATCGCGACGCTCTGGGGCGTCCGGGAGAGCATCGCGACGCTCTGGGGCGTCCGGGGAGCATCGCGACGCTCTGGGGCGTCCGGGGAGAGCATCGCGACGCTCTGGGGCGTCCGGGGAGAGCATCGCGACGCTCTGGGGCGTCCGGGAGAGCATCGCGACGCTCTGTGGGCGTCCGGGAGAGCATCGCGACGCTCTGGGGCGTCCGGGGAGAGCATCGCGACGCTCTGGGGCGTCCGGGGAGAGCATCGCGACGCTCTGGGGCGTCCGGGGAGAGCATCGCGACGCTCTGGGGCGTCCGGGGAGAGCATCGCGACGCTCTGGGGCGTCCGGGAGAGCATCGCGACGCTCTGGGGCGTCCGGGGAGAGCATCGCGACGCTCTGGGGCGTCCGGGGAGAGCATCGCGACGCTCTGGGGCGTCCGGGGAGAGCATCGCGACGCTCTGGGGCGTCCGGGGAGAGCATCGCGACGCTCTGGGGCGTCCGGGAGAGCATCGCGACGCTCTGGGGCGTCCGGGGAGAGCATCGCGACGCTCTGGGGCGTCCGGGGAGAGCATCGCGACGCTCTGGGGCGTCCGGGGAGAGCATCGCGACGCTCTGGGGCGTCCGGGGAGAGCATCGCGACGCTCTGGGGCGTCCGGGGAGAGCATCGCGACGCTCTGGGGCGTCCGGGGAGAGCATCGCGACGCTCTGGGGCGTCCGGGAGAGCATCGCGACGCTCTGGGGCGTCCGGGGAGAGCATCGCGACGCTCTGGGGCGTCCGGGGAGAGCATCGCGACGCTCTGGGGCGTCCGGGGAGAGCATCGCGACGCTCTGGGGCGTCCGGGGAGAGCATCGCGACGCTCTGGGGCGTCCAGGGAGAGCATCGCGACGCTCTGGGGCGTCCGGGGAGAGCATCGCGACGCTCTGGGGCGTCCGGGGAGAGCATCGCGACGCTCTGGGGCGTCCGGGGAGAGCATCGCGACGCTCTGGGGCGTCCGGGGAGAGCATCGCGACGCTCTGGGGCGTCCGGGGAGAGCATCGCGACGCTCTGGGGCGTCCGGGGAGAGCATCGCGAGCTCTGGGGCGTCCGGGGAGAGCATCGCGACGCTCTGGGGCGTCCGGGAGAGCATCGCGACGCTCTGGGGCGTCCGGGGAGAGCATCGCGACGCTCTGGGGCGTCCGGGGAGAGCATCGCGACGCTCTGGGGCGTCCGGGGAGAGCATCGCGACGCTCTGGGGCGTCCGGGGAGAGCATCGCGACGCTCTGGGGGCGTCCGGGAGAGCATCGCGACGCTCTGGGGCGTCCGGGGAGAGCATCGCGACGCTCTGGGGCGTCCGGGAGAGCATCGCGACGCTCTGGGGCGTCCGGGGAGAGCATCGCGACGCTCTGGGGCGTCCGGGAGAGCATCGCGACGCTCTGGGGCGTCCGGGGAGAGCATCGCGACGCTCTGGGGCGTCCGGGAGAGCATCGCGACGCTCTGGGCGTCCGGGGAGAGCATCGCGACGCTCTGGGGCGTCCGGGGAGAGCATCGCGACGCTCTGGGGCGTCCGGGGAGAGCATCGCGACGCTCTGGGGCGTCCGGGGAGAGCATCGCGACGCTCTGGGGCGTCCGGGGAGAGCATCGCGACGCTCTGGGGCGTCCGGGGAGAGCATCGCGACGCTCTGGGGCGTCCGGGGAGAGCATCGCGACGCTCTGGGGCGTCCGGGGAGAGCATCGCGACGCTCTGGGGCGTCCGGGAGAGCATCGCGACGCTCTGGGGCGTCCGGGGAGAGCATCGCGACGCTCTGGGGCGTCCGGGGAGAGCATCGCGACGCTCTGGGGCGTCCGGGAGAGCATCGCGACGCTCTGGGGCGTCCGGGGAGAGCATCGCGACGCTCTGGGGCGTCCGGGGAGAGCATCGCGACGCTCTGGGGCGTCCGGGGAGAGCATCGCGACGCTCTGGGGCGTCCGGGGAGCATCGCGACGCTCTGGGGCGTCCGGGAGAGCATCGCGACGCTCTGGGGCGTCCGGGAGAGCATCGCGACGCTCTGGGGCGTCCGGGGAGAGCATCGCGACGCTCTGGGGCGTCCGGGAGAGCATCGCGACGCTCTGGGGCGTGGGGAGAGCATCGCGACGGGGCTCTGGGGGCGTCCGGGGAGAGCATCGCGACGCTCTGGGGCGTCCGGGGAGAGCATCGCGACGCTCTGGGGCGTCCGGGAGAGCATCGCGACGCTCTGGGGCGTCCGGGGAGAGCATCGCGACGCTCTGGGGCGTCCGGGGAAGCATCGCGACGCTCTGGGGCGTCCGGGGAGAGCATCGCGACGCTCTGGGGCGTCCGGGGAGAGCATCGCGACGCTCTGGGGCGTCCGGGAGAGCATCGCGACGCTCTGGGGCGTCCGGGGAGAGCATCGCGACGCTCTGGGGGCGTCCGGGGAGAGCATCGCGACGCTCTGGGGCGTCCGGGAGAGCATCGCGACGCTCTCGGGGCGTCCGGGGAGCATCGCGACGCTCTGGGGCGTCCGGGAGAGCATCGCGACGCTCTGGGGCGTCCGGGGAGAGCATCGCGACGCTCTGGGGCGTCCGGGGAGAGCATCGCGACGCTCTGGGGCGTCCGGGAGAGCATCGCGACGCTCTGGGGCGTCCGGGAGAGCATCGCGACGCTCTGGGGCGTCCGGGAAGAGCATCGCGACGCTCTGGGGCGTCCGGGGAGAGCATCGCGACGCTCTGGGGCGTCCGGGGAGAGCATCGCGACGCTCTGGGGCGTCCGGGAGAGCATCGCGACGCTCTGGGGCGTCCGGGGAGAGCATCGCGACGCTCTGGGGCGTCCGGGGAGAGCATCGCGACGCTCTGGGGCGTCCGGGGAGAGCATCGCGACGCTCTGGGGCGTCCGGGGAGAGCATCGCGACGCTCTGGGGCGTCCGGGGAGAGCATCGCGACGCTCTGGGCGTCCGGGGAGAGCATCGCGACGCTCTGGGGCGTCGGGGAGAGCATCGCGACGCTCTGGGGCGTCCGGGGAGAGCATCGCGACGCTCTGGGGCGTCCGGGGAGAGCATCGCGACGCTCTGGGGCGTCCGGGGAGAGCATCGCGACGCTCTGGGGCGTCCGGGGAGAGCATCGCGACGCTCTGGGGCGTCCGGGGGAGCATCGCGACGCTCTGGGGGCGTCCGGGGAGAGCATCGCGACGCTCTGGGGCGTCCGGGAGAGCATCGCGACGCTCTGGGCGTCCGGGGAGAGCATCGCGACGCTCTGGGGCGTCCGGGGAGAGCATCGCGACGCTCTGGGGCGTCCGGGAGAGCATCGCGACGCTCTGGGGCGTCGGGGAGAGCATCGCGACGCTCTGGGG